AAAAATTGGAATTACCTCCTGTGGTGGCCTGTTGCAGTGGTCAGAAGTTCCTCATGTACCTGGCCTCATTTTACCCAATCCCAATTTCTTCTGATCCTGCCTACTTCAACACACAGCCTGGTGGTGGCCATCCCCAAATCCACCCCTACTTTCCTGACTGCTTACAACTTCAAGAATGATTATGAGACTTCCGTAAGTCCATCCATAGGATTCGGGAAAATCTTGATGCTAATTTGTCACCACAACTTTCTTTGCAAGACTAGTCTTCTGCTTCAGTGACACTGTCCTGGTTCTGGTGGATGAACTGGGTTCCAATGGTTTATTGTTGTTGTTTTGTTATTGGGCTTTTGATTTTTTTCCTCTTGTCTTTTTCTTCCCTTCTGTTTTTTATTTATTTTTTCTCGGTGGAGAGGAAGAGCATGTACCTAGAATGTACTTGACATGCTCTCTCACTGACTGTAACTAGTGGCCCTGTCCATGTGATGACAAACAGGCCTGGGAGCTTTGTAGCCATCTCGCGTCACTCACAATGTGGAGCAGTAACGTTGCTGAGGATGTGTACTCCTGTATTCCTGTGAGTAATAATAAACAAATCATAAAGTAAGAGTGGAGTAATAAAGAAGGTACCACTAAGGCTCATATCTGAAGAAGGCAAGAAATATAACAACCCCACAAATACATATTAGCACGCACACATGTGGACACTGACACATACAAACACCAGCACTTCAAATTTTAAGTCCTATACTACTAGGCAGACTCTAAAAGTTAATTCCCAGTGCAGACCTGGAGGGTCCATGACACACATACAGGAGGTCAAGTTCCACTAGCCAGGGCTGAATTTTCACTAGCAATTGGCTAGTGGCATGTGGAAATTTTGAGCCCTGTTAACACACATCCTCACACACTCTTACTCTGAGAGTTAGTGAGGAACAGGGGTTTAACTGTCTTGACTCCCTGATGTCTAGTCTACTAATTTACTTAGATTGTAAACTCCTTTGAGCGCAGCTCTCTTTTTACTTTCTTGTTTTTATTCACTTAATTTTCTTATCAAGTATCTGCTGTTTTATATCTCAATTGAAAGCCCTGACGCTATACATACATAATAATATTAATAATAATAATTGTAAATCCAATGGGTTCTATTTAGAACTTCCTCTCACCATCTGACAACATAGTGACAGTTCCAAAGACCAGCCATAGAACCCAACCAATAAATGATGTATTAAAACCTGGCTGGTACTGGTTTGTTTTCTTATGGAAGTATTAAGAAAAAACAAATGTTGTAATCTCTTAGTCAACTTTGGGATTGTTGTTGTTGTATCCTATACCTAAATGATGTCCTTTTGCACCAATCTTTTAGACACATGGTCTGTGGTTTCATATGATCAGCTAGTTTCCCCATACCAGTCCTGTAGCAGCAAGTAAGGTTCCTATGAATTCCATCAGACAGTGAGCATGAAAACAATTTTGTGGCTTTTAATTATTATTTTGGACAGCTGTCGTACGAAGAGACTGGCGCCTATGTCAGATTAAAGTCTCCATACAGATGGCAAAAATTATGTTTCTGTGGTTTACCACGAGGTGGCGCCAGAGGGCAATGTCATTGCACATAGCCACAGGGGAAAAGTTGAAATCAGTTCTTTTACCATAAAAGCTTCATTTTAAAGGAGTTGGGTAACAGGAGCAAGTAATATCCACTGGTACAATTACATAAATTGTCTTTAGTCCTGTAATGGTCAAATGTGAAATTTTGACGGGTTGTTCTTTAATATAGATTTTATTTTAATATGTATTACAAATGTAATTAAATAATAAATGGTTATTCAATAAAGTGAGGATTTAAAGTGAGTTCAAAGTGAATTTAACATTTATGGTCAAAATAGAAAAAAATAGAAAAATCCTCTAAACCAACTATGCTTATAGTTCTGCTACTGAAACCTGAAATTTTAAATTCACTTTGAATGTCCACTTTATTAAATAACCCTAGTTGGTGTTTAGGTTTTTTTTTTAAACCTAATTTTATTTTTATTTTATTTTTATTTTTAAAATTCCAGAGCAGTCATTCTCTAGTGAATTATATATTCCACCAAAAAAAAATCATTCTAAAAAGGATTAAGAAAAGGGATTATTATATAACTGTTTAATGAAAAACATCAAGTTCTAAAGAATTAGCTGCAATACATACAGTTATTATTTCTTATTTCTTACAATGTTACTTACATTAATGTTGTTTATTATCCTCAGAGTAAGCAAGGACTTACAAAGTATACACACTTTACTCAATAAATATTCATATTAACATAGCAAACTATCAAGGACACTTTAAATATAGTATTATTATTAGTAGTAGTATTATTATTATATTATTATTATATTATTATATAATTATTATTATTATTATAATATTATTATTATATTATTATCATTGTTGTTATTATTATATTGTTATTATTATTTTATTATTATTATTATTATATTATTATTATATAAATATTTTATTATTATTATTATTATTATTATTATTGTATAATTATTATTATTATAGTTTGCTTTGTTGTTGTTTCTTTGCCTGTCTGTAAAGGAAGTTGAATTGTATAGCTCTATGTATATAGAGATATATCTGTCTGATCCCCCATCTTTATCATCATTCATAGAAATTAAATGAGGGTCTACATGGTGATGAGGGTTTATGTGTTTATACGATTGATGCATCCCGTCACAAAGTTACCTAGTACCCACAGATACATTTAAAACTATGGATGAAATAATTATAAATAGATGTCAGATGTTGGTTGTATCATTCATTCAGGTTACAATATTGAGTTAATTATTACCCCCTCTCATCATTGGGAGTGTTATTGAGGGGGGCTTAAGGTTCTGGGTGTTAATTAAGGAATAGGGATTGGAAGCTAATGGTGACCAACCTCCATGGTGCTATGGACTCTAACCCCCATGACTCTCTCTCAAGTAAATTCTGCACAATGCTACATGTTTGGTGTTTCCCTCTGTGTAAATGTGACATGTTTCATTGTGGACTTGAATGATATTGGATGAGATATAATTTTTCTAGTTAAACACTACTATGGGATATTTCCTGTGATAACAGGACTGTGTAAACCAGACTATCCTTTTAAAGTGGGTGCGTTTGCAGAAAATGAATTATTTGAGCCTGTATGTGTATTATGCTAGCTGTTTGTGGGTTTAGGTACACCCAACACCCCTCCAAGCAAACAAGTCATGTCAACAAGTTAAGAATTAAAAAAAAAAATTAAAAAAAAAAAAAACGAAAATAAATGGATTTCACTTACCAAAGCATCATATATTTATTGGGTGGTGTGAGCAATATTTAAACACTACATGTAGATGGATAAGTAAATACACTCTGTGTAGTCTGTGTAATGATCTACAATACACACACACACACAGGATGTCAGTGCAAGTGTGTAACAAAAACACAAATTAACTTGTACTGTAACTTTCCAAATAGTTTAATATATATTGTAAACTCTATAACTGTTGGGCAAGCATAGCATTTGTGATACAACATAAGAAATATTGAGGGGATGTGGAGAACGTGCTTCTTGTTATGTCAGTTTATGGGTTTGATTGTATTTAGGATTCCCTGATCCACATTTCTGCAGGCTGATGGAAATGACATGAAATGTGATGCCACTTTTACATATTACACAATGTCACCATTGCAATTGTACGTACTTCGAGGCAGAACTTTTCATGTGCAGCCCATCAATGTGTAGAAGTGATGTGATGATGTATCTGGCAACCCTGGCTGTGTTATGGCCAGCTTTAGATCTCACAATGGAGGCACCCCAGAAATCTGGACATGGAGGGGAGGGGGCTTGTATATGGAGTGTGCTGAATCCCCATGTATAACTTTTTCATTAGAACTCTGTTAGTGTATACTAATGATTCCCTCACTGTGTATTTATAGGTTGGCAGTATGGCAATTTATTTTTACTGTTTAAATTGAGCTATGAAGGAATAAAGTGATGTATGTCCTAGCTAAATGAAGCAAGCATTATATTAATTTTCTGTTGCAAAAATGACTGTGTTTATACAGCAATATCTCCAGTGAACTATCTTCTAATTGGTTATGTGACCTTAGTCAACTTGATCTGTACTGAAACCTACAGCTTGATCAGTTGATAGATTAACCAGGGATCAGTTAGTTATGGGGGGGCTCCCAGGGAGGACTCTCACAATAACCATATTTCACAGGACAAACAAGTTGTATATTCCTTAATCAAAATCCTCATTGCTTCTTGTTCTGTGTGATGTTTTCTTTCAATTCGTTATTTTCTCATTGTACAACACTACAGACTGAGTTGGCACTATAAACATATTAATTCTGATCTGGTAGCCCTGTTGCATAAGAGAAGTGGGGATTGTATACCCTGTAACCTTACAGACTTTGTAGACCAGCATATTGTGACAAGTCTACTTGTTGGGGGGGGGGTACTCTATCATTTCTGTACCCCCATCAGTTCAAATTCTCAGATGAATACCAGGGCTGCTTTCAAAGAGTTTCTGCAGCAGCTGAGACACGTCTTCAATAGAATTGTCAGTGAATGAGACTTGCTGCCCCCCTCCCAGCCCTGTCAGTAAGATCCCACAGAAGTGTGTCCTGAATTGTTCAGTGTTGTTGAAACACTGGCTGTCACTGTGGAGTTACTTCAGACCCATTGTTACTTTGTTTTTCTATTCATTGCCATAAGAGGACAAGTCTCCCATCTCTCTATGGGTGACATAGTGTGAATTTCCCACTCTCTCCACCCCCACCCTCTCTCCCTGCTGTGTAGGAGGCTGCAGAGAGGACTCACAGAAGCAACACGTGGGAGGAGGGCCAGCTTGTCCTGGGGCAGAACCCTTAGCCCCTCACTAGGTTCTGGAAATGATTGGCTGTTGCTAGGTGACGTAGCCAGCCGTCACATGACCAGAGTTAAATGCCTGGTGCTATAGCCTTGGAGGCTCAGACTATCCTGCTCAGCACCCAGTGAGCTGCACAGCCTCCACCCCCAGCCAAACACCCCCTGTTCCCTGCACTGACCTTGCTCAACATTCTGCAGAGGGGACCATGCATCCAGCAGTGCCCAATCTCCACTCACAGCACTCCTGAACCCTCATTACCCACCTGGGCACTGATCACTACTTGCATTTAGCTGCTCTGCTCCACCCAGACACCAGGCTCACTGCCCCCCTCACTGGGCTCCTCACTGGGACCTGGACAGAATGACTGGTGTGTTTGACAGCTTGGTGTCAGACATGCATTCAAACCAAATGACCTCCAGCAGCTATCACAGTCTGCACAAGTCACAGGAGTCTCCAACTCTGCCAGTGTCCACAGCCACAGACAGCAGCTATTACACCAACCAACAGCAGCAGCAGCACTGTGGAGGGGGGTCCCCCTATGGACAGCTAGCTGGATCGTACCAGTTCCATGCCAGTGGCATCAATGGGATCTCTTACTCTGCCAAGTCCTATGACCTGTCCTATAATGGCTCTTACAGCACCTATGGACCATATGGAACTAGCCCATCCCCTACACACAATGACCCAGGTAAGCATGTGATGTGCCCTGGATGGTGGGTTAGGGTGCCTGCTCTACCATCCTGTTATTACTGATTAGTGAAACTGTAAAACACCAGGTTAATGGGAGCATCTGTCATTTCCAAGTAATGGCTGAACCTGCCTGGCAGATCTAACAGATTCTCTGTGATAGCATTAATTATGCATCAGGTCAGACTTCTAATGCTAAGAGATGGGTGAAAATCAGGTTAACTAATGTGATATTTTTCCACATTTTTTAAATTCATGTTAATGTCATATTTGACATGGAATAAATATGCATGATGTTGTATAAACCCTATTGTACTTGTGTGAGTTTCTCAATATAATTGTAAAGTTTGCATGATGTTCTGCATACTGTGCTATGGATGTAATTAATGAATAATAATAATAATAATAATAATAATAATAATAATAATAATAATAATAATAAGTGATTTATTTCTGATCAATCTGTGTCTGTGTTATAGAGAAGGAGGAATGTGAGCCTGAAGTCAGGATGGTGAACGGAAAGCCAAAGAAAGTCAGGAAACCCAGGACAATCTATTCCAGTTTCCAGCTGGCTGCCTTGCAAAGACGGTTCCAAAAAACCCAGTACCTGGCACTGCCCGAGAGAGCTGAGCTGGCTGCCTCCCTCGGCCTGACCCAGACACAGGTGAGACTCAGCCCCTCCACAGGCCCAGCTACAGAGCAGTTCATTAGAAGGTGACAGGGGTGGGTAATGCTAGTTTAGAATGTTGTGTATACGGTGTTTATACATGTTTCCCCTATTCTTGGATTGTTACATTTCAGATAAAAATGCTTAGACTAGTGTGTAAATAATATAATATAATAATATAGTTTTAAAGTGCTTCTACGTCTAGGTAAAAAAAAAAAAAATACTGAAATGCTGAAGAATCTTTGGAGTTTTTTATTTTATTTGTTTTTTATTTTTAAATTGATCTCATAGTAAATATAAACACTTCTAAACTCTTTTATTTGTGATTTATAATGAAAAAGTGAGCTTGTTTTGCTTTGCTTTGTTTTTGATACATATTGTTTCTGATTTTTAATTTAATTTTTATTTTTTATTTGTTGTTTTGTTTTGTTTTGTTTTTTTGTTTTTGTGGGGTTTTTTTTCCTTAACGTCCTACTACACTTTTATAACACAGAATGTAAATATTTAAATATAAGATTTTAATAATTAAAATACAACGACGTGTCATGCCAGCATTTATGTCAATAAGTCGATATTTTAAATTATTTTACGTAATCACAATAATAATTAATGTGTAATTTCCAAAGACTTAGATTGCATGTAATCCCTCTGTCATCTTTTTAAATTTATTTTTTATTAACTTTTGGTTTTTTTTTATGTTTTTTCCCCTCTGCATTAGGTGAAAATCTGGTTTCAGAACCGCAGGTCCAAGTTTAAGAAGATGTGGAAAAGTGGGGAGATCCCCTCTGATGGGAGGCCAGCAGTCAGTGACTCCCCACCATGCAGCTCCCCCCCTTCCTCTGCAGTGACCTGGGACTTTGCAACACACCAAAGGCTGCAGGGGACAGGCTCTGCTCTCCAGCCCCCCAGCTCTGGGTCTAGCCCCAGCCCATTCCTGGGAAACTATTCCTGGTACCAACCTTCCAACCCCAGCTCCCACCTCCAGTCTAACCCTCTGCTACATCAACAGCAACATCACCTTCATCACCATCACAACACTGCAGCTATCACTGCAGGGACTATTTTCTAAACACCCCCTTTTCAAATGCCAAGTTATGGGATGTAATGGACCAACAAGCAACAGGCTGGACACGTAAAAACCTGTAAGTGGGAGAAAGAATTAAGGGGGAGATCTTTCTGTGTCAGTAATCAGGGGGGCGATACAAGCTCAGGTTCACAAGTCAGACTGGTGATCTGATTAATCATTTTATTTACTCCAGCATAAGGCACTGAGAAAAAGCAAGGACTCTGTGTGCAAACAATTGGCATCCGACCAATATTGTTTATTTTATTTTTATTTTTTTTATTATTATTTTATATCTGAAATGCTCCTCTGGCACCATAGATTGGCTCAACAGATTGTCTAAATTATTATTATATTTTTTGGGGGGGGGGGGCGGGTTGTAATTTACGTATTGAATAATAATAATCCGGATAATTAATTTTACACCAATTGGTTTATAATTTAAAAACACGGTTTATAATTTATAAAAAAAAATGTATGGAGCTAGGAATTCCAATTAAAAAAAAAAAATCTTTCAAATGTTCATCCTGTTTTTTTCCCCCCTTTGATATAGATCAGCTATTGTAATACCGTGTAATTCCGTGTAATTCTATTATTTTATGATTATTATTTTAGTCCCCTACTACTATTAATTTCGTTTTTACGATCTTCACTTAAAAAAAAAAAAAATTAAAATGCCAAGATCCTATGTTATGGAAAATTATTTTTAAAACATGCAAAAGAAACCACAAATCTACCTTGCAAAATGGGAGTGATTGTCTTTAAATTGTAATTTATTGATCGCATTATTTAACTGTAATAAGTCAGGTTGCCGATGTAATTATTGTTTTCTTGTGATCATCAAATCACCAGTGTGGAGTAACTTCAGAGCTGCCAGTGAGAGAGAGAGAATGGGATTTACTATCCAAACTGTTTTTAGTGCTCTCTCTGGCACTCAAACGGTTAACTAATTTAGGTGCCTTTTTGGATGACCTCATTTTTTATGTTAAAAGATGATTTTTTTTAATATGTGTACATATATGTAGATAAAATTGAACCCGTGTTTAAATTATCTTTTTTAATAAAAAATTAAAAAAAATAATCGTAAAACAAGCTCTCAGTCCTGCTTTGTATCAAATGGTCGCAAATCTCTCTGTTTACATGTTTGTTTGTTTTTGGGAGGGGAGGGGCATTATTATTTTATTTTTTTATCTGAGAAAAATATGATAGTAACAAATCAGATATTATTATTATTTTTATATTTTTTTTAGAGCGATATTTTCAATTGCCATGTTAACTGTTTTTGTTGTGTGTGTTTTTGTGGGTTTTGTTTGTTGTGTTGTTTTTTTAATTTTATTTATTTATTGTTTGGGGTTTTTTTTGTTTTGTTTTGTTTTCTTAGGACAAATATACATTTTTGTTTATTTATACTTCTTTTCTACTTCAAAGAAGACTATTTAAAATAAAATATTGTTAGACTATAATGTCATTATCATTCATATATTTTTTTTTTTTAAAGAGATAAATAGTAAAAACCTAAATCAGCCCCAATTAACATTAGCAGTAACTTGTTTAGTTCTGCTCTCTTTTTATTTAAATACTCAGGAACTCTGCCTGTCTTGTACACAATGTATTGTTGAACTGATACTTGTTAAGTGTTCTATCCATTGTTACCTATACAGTCTGTGAAATCTGCCTTGATCTCTCTGCTACATAAATCGTGCTGTAGGAAGTGGGCTGGGATGGCCATCAATCAATCAGAGGAGAGATTTGAGTCCCAGACTCAGCCATGCCCATCTCAAAAACCTGGCGCCTGGATACTTTAGTCTGGGACTGGTGCTGTCGTCACCACCACGCCCCATTCACACATAGAACATACAGTAAGCCTTAGCCAGTTCATCTTGCTGTACAGCTCCCAGCAGTATTTGGTGATAAATGGAGTAAGGATCATGTGTGATGATGAGTACCTAGTTGCAACTTTACTTTAAAGCCTTGACACATTGTTTGGGGTTGGAGGGAACTGTCCCTTCCTCATTTAGATCCTGAATTCAGGCTGAGGGTCTTTTTTATGCTTTGGGCAAACTGATGGGGCTAATTAGCTAAAGCCCAAATTGTAGCAATTTTTAAATATGAATGAACAGGGTTATTTTATTCTAAAATTAGCAATTTGGATTTAGTTCACTGTACAGCGCTGCGGAACATGTTGGCAATTTATAAACAAAAATAAATATACTCGGCATTTAGTGAATAAGCCCAGTGCATAGTTTAAATGCTGCATTTGTTTGGAATATTCTGGTTTTCCAACGTGTATTTTTCATTTTAAAACCATCATTTACTCAATATTGACCCATAGACAAAAAAAGCTCATTTTCTTTTTCATGTCCACAGCAGGTATCTCAAAAGTATCAGCACTTTTTTTTCTTTTTCTTTTGATTTTTACAATTTTCCAAATCTCTTGTAGAGTCACACAGCGCTAAATACGAAGTAATAAAATGCTAGAGTTAAGGTTTCCAGGACGAACCATGATTTTTACTAAACAATATACTTTATTCCGCAGTGCTTTACAATTATATTGTGGGGATATAACCGCAAATCAGACAAACTATTACAAAATCTAATAGGGGAGGAAGGGGGTAATGACAACTCTGCTCAAACAAGCGTTCTGGTGGCAGGATTGATGCTTGTAAGCAGCCAAACGGTTAAAATGGTTTCAAGTTTTACCTGGGATATGATCCCTGCTTCCACTACTTCAGACAGAGAGCTGGAAGTGCACTGTATGGGTTCTGGTAATGTGGCTCTGTCAGATCAATATTTATTTATTTATAAAATATTTACCAGGATGGATACATTGAGATTTCTCTCGTTTTCAAGTATGTCAAGGGTCTTTGTCCACAAAACATTGCATTGTTACAATAGGATAAAATATTACAAAAATACAATATACAAACTATGTATATATATACACACATTTACACACATACACACATATATCAATTTAATACATAACAGGTAATAAATATATTCAACCATGACAGGTGCATTCTGTGCTGAGGTATATTGCCATAGATCTCTTAAAATATTTTAGATTGAATGAAGATTTGACTGTGTCCCTGAGGTTATTCCATAATTCCCGTATTGAGTATTGGTAATTCATATAGACAGTCTTTGTTAAATAATCATATTGACTGTAATGAAAACTTTAACGTAGTCGTATTATATCATAAGTCAAAATATGGACTCCCTCCTCTTATGGTCAAAACATGACAAAAATTGGACCTTCCACCATTAGGTTTTGTCAGTTCCTAAAGCCATCATTAGAGACAACGATAAGAAACCATGGATCATGAGATGTGGCCTACAGACTCACAGGTTCCTCCAAAGTTACACTATGACCTTGTCTCCTGGCAGATGAAGCACCAAGTCTTGAAGAAAGAAGATGGTAACAGCCTTTAGAAAGTGCTTCAGGGAAGTATAATATATAAGAGTTTGTCACCTTTGGGGGTCTGCAAAATATGCAACATAACTGCTTTAAACACAACCAAACCCTAAATCTAAAGCACTATCTCTACCTTGAATATTCTGCCCTAACTGTAACTTAGTGACAACGTATTGAACACCACATCTGTTTTTGTAGTGGTTTACCATCAATACTGTTTTACCTTATTCCTCGTTGGTCATTTAAAACAATCATTTTTTACAGGAGATAGTTTAAATATATACTTCAGAAAGTGAATTTCTTCAAACTACAAAGTGGTACATAAAATATGCTTCCATGGCCACATCGTATGTAGTATTCACAAGCATCAGGAGGAAAATAGTTAACCAATCAAACAATCCCTGTAGGATTCCAACTTCATCCATAAACTGATAGCCACCCTGAAGCATATGAATTATGCATACAGGGCATAAATGTATATGTTATTCTTATGAGAATGTAGTACTGATGTGCCCAGGAAAGCATCTGACTGCCCTACATTCTTGCCTACCTACATGAAACCTACTTATACATGAAAGAATCTGCTGCAATAAGACTTCGCACGACTACTTGCAAGGTGAAGTGTCAATCTCGTTTTTATTTATTTGTAAAAAAAAAATAGTAAGATTTATTCACAAACCTGGAAAAGTAACACAGTATGCAAATCTGAGGTCAAAACAGAAGAGACTAAAAAAGCTTTTAAAAAAGAGTTTGTGATTTATTTTCCCCAATTTTATTGTTTTGGTCTAAAATTTGTAATCCCCTTCTCAACTTTACAGTCTCCAAATAATGTCATAGATACACCTGATCTTACTTGTCTCCTAGAAGTTTGGAGTAATTCCAATATTTCCTTAATTCTATATGTCAGTAACTGTTTGACTAGGTTGTCATTTCAAAGTGTCAGTTGACTGATTTTGTGCTTTTTAATCCGTATAAGACTTTCCTACATTGATCTTAGATTTTGTTACGCCCCCCTCAACTCAACTCTCTCACACATAAAATACACAAGTAATCACAACTGCCAGCGCACAGATCTTTCTATATAACATAATGAAACATTTTGGTGTTTATTCGCTAAATGAGTATTTATTGAACATTGCTGATTACAAGCCAAAATAAACAATTTTGAAATATTTTCCTGTCTGGATATTTTGGCCTTAAATTTAAAATTCACTTTGAATTCGGATTGAATTCTTGACAAATCACAAGAATTTGGGGGGAAAACACCACTTATTTAAAAAAAGGTGTAGAAGCTTGCAGAATGTGACAGGCAAAGTAAACGAGTACAAAAGCAAAAAGACCGTAGTAATGCAGTGACGTACAAATAATGTACATAGTATATCAGTCAGAGTAGTATCTCAGGTGATAACCAGATGTAGGAACCAACACTACAAGTTTTGCTATATTTTACAATTGGCATGAAAAAGAGAATAGGTACAACATGTATTCCAATTCTGAAAATAAGTGGAAATGGGGGATTACCTCTGATGAATTCAATGGAATACTAAGCTGTATGGTAGAAAGGGTGTAAGAATGTATTATTCATAGAGAATGGGAGTCATGGAATTAACATAGACAACCATGCAAAATTGGATGCATGAAAGTGACTATTGTGGGGTATGATTTGATGGTAAATATATGACTATGTAGGTAGTTAGGTGATAAGTGGGACAGTGCTGGGAGAAAGGTGTATGTGTTTGTGCATTTACTCTGCCTGCAGAGTTGAGTGTGTGGACAGGCCTGCTCATGGTGTTGCATGTGCCAGGGTAGGCTTGTTCTTTGGGGGGCTGCTTGTGAGGATGTCGCTTGTGTTGTTGCATATGTATAGGGAGGTTACGTGTAGGGTAGGGAGGAAGGCTTTTATGTGCATGGATATGGCTGTTTTTGGTGTAGTATGTGTGTGTGTGTGTGTGTGAAAATAAGGGCTGTATGTAGTTAGGGACTGTAGTGCGTGAAGTGTGTGTTTGGGGGGATCTGAAATGTAGGGTCAGTTTAGGAGGATAGGGGCTGTAAGGTGTGATTCAGAGGTGTGTAGTGTGTGTGTTTAGGGCACAATTTGGGGCTGTAGTGGGCGTGATTGGGGACAACTGGGCCTGCAGATTGTGTGAATAGGGTTGTATAGTGTACTGGGGGAAAGTTAGATGTAGTTAGTGTGTGTAGGCAAATTAGGGCTCTAACGTATGTGTGCTGAGGAATAAGGTAGTAGTAGTAGGGGTAAGCTGTAGTAAGTGTGTGGTTGTTGCACTGCAATGTGTGTTTTGGAGTGATAGGGACTGTTGTGTGTGTTGAGAAGAGAGAACATGGGCTGTTGTGTGTGTTGAGGTAGAGACAAGGCTGCTAGTGGGTGCAGTACATGTGGTCTGCACCCTCCAGGGGTGCAGTACTCAAGCTCCCTGATACACTTCCATTATGAAAATGGGCTGGCCAAAGAGAGAGATTTTGAATCTCCACCATTCTTCTTATGCCTGTCACCACATTATGGGAAATCCAGGCCTGTAGACAGCCTACAGACAGGCTACATTGTTTATTTTGTGGATGTATCATTTGGTTTTTTAATCTAAATTATGAATGTCAAGCTCAGTCCACAAGGTCTCAAACCCTATAAGATATTAAGGTTTGTTTAGTTAACACGAGCACTACAATAAAAGTAGTGTTTCAAAGAGTAAGAAGCCAAGTACCATCACCCAAATGCGTCAGGTAATACGTATAGCGAACGCTACATCTAACCCTAAATTTTATTCTGTTTAATTATTGATTGTATGCTATGCATATTGCTGGCACGAGAATACACTTTATGCATTTATGCATGAGAATCATTCACCTCCAACTTAGCTATAGTCGCAATCTGCCTTTTTTTAGCCTACACTTTGCCATTTGTTTTTCAATTCACTACAATTAGCTATTTGGTCAAAAATTAACCCTATGTCTGCGCCTTGTTAGATCGGAATTTGATATCCCAGATTAAGATGTGCATTTATAATCAATAAAAGATCTGCAAATTTCTGAATAGATTAGAAGCTGTTGGGAATAGATCTAACGCCGTAGGCTTGGGCTTATTCCCATAACTGAGTTCCACTCAGAATAAGATAATTCCAGAGACTAGTCAAACTGCAGTCCACATCATAAAAATTCTGCAAATCCTTCAACGTGAAAGACTGAAATACACTGCAGAAAAAAGCACATTATTGCAGGTGTAGAAATGGATGTGTTAAACCTATATTTACTTACGTAGAACATTATCAGACCTGAGGATATCTTGTTGAGTATAAATATTTATTATCATAATCAGGAGCCTTTGATTTTTTTTCCTGTTACATGTTGTTTGTTTATACAATACAAAACAAAATTATATAGCGTTTCCCTAGAATTTACGTGTGCGAATACCAATCACATCCACAGTTACCCTGTTGGATAAAAGATTGCTAATATGTCATCACGCAAGAGAATAGATATTCAGATTGACAGTAAAAAAAAAAAGCATAGTGTATTATGTATAAAGCTCTTGTGTAAAAAAAACAAGGAGAAAATAATCAAGTGTTTTTCTTTATTTAAAATAAAAATTGCTAATAAGTATTTATTGAAATAGGTTACAATCAGCCTACTGTGCGCGAGCCTATATGAAGCATTGATTGTCAAATATAAATAAACACTGGGGTTTATTCACTAAACGGGATGGGGCTGTGAATTGAGAACTGACTTGCAAAATTCAGACAAAAATAGGCAAAATGGATAAAACTCCACTTCAGTGGGGATTGTATATTTTTTCCCCCAAAATGTATATTTTTATTGTTATTTCAAAAATTTTAAACGCAACACCATTTACTCTTCTTCCACCCATCCTGCTGCTGAATGATTTAAAAAGACATCACTACAAATCACTTTCCTTCATGGGAACTAGCGCAGGTCCATATACTGAACTGTTCCATAGGATACAAATAGAATTCTGGCAAAAAAATGACAAAAATACTATAAAAGTGGGAACCAGAGCACTAACTATGAGCTCCGAATCATGTTATTAAAAAAAAAGCTGTTTCTTGGTGGAATTTGATTTTACACTTAAAGGGACACTGTAGGCACCCAGACCACTTCAGCTATTTGAAGTGGTCTGGGTGCTGTGTACCTTTTGCACTTAGTTCTTAGCTCTAAGTCTGCCCTCTGTGGCTGTCTACCAGACAGCCACTGGGGGCGCTTCCGGAATCCAAATGGACTTTTGGTCCGTTATCTGACGCTGGAGGTCCGTGAGATTGACTAATGCTTTCCTATAGGGACCGGGAACCGACCACAGCTCCCGTGATGAAACATATGTTGGCAGAGCTCCACACAAACATTGTGGATATAACCCATTGTAAGGATGCCATAGAGAGAGTATCACCTACTGGAGGCTTCTACTAGTACTCACAACTCCAGGATGTCCTCAGTTTAGTAGAAACTTGAGGAACTCCAGCAGCAACAACATAGTACGACAGGAAAACAGGAACTCTGGCGGATCAGAGGAATCATTAGAATTTAACAGTTAGGGGCATACCGGAACATCTGGGTCTTGCCAATCTACCTCACTTCATTAGGCAACTTTTAACAGTATTACTACCGCCCAAACAAGCCAAACTTGTGAAACTGGATGGCATGTTTCGCTTACCCAAACCGGTGAATGCACCACAATCCTCAAACTCAGTCCTCATTATTATATGAATCAAATCAATTCAGGACAAGACCCTACTCCTTGCTGCAGTGAGGCAAAAAAAGCCTGATTCACTTTAAAGATTCTACACTGCTGATGTTCCCGAATCTAACAAGCAGTCCTCTTACCTGGTGCATGTCCTTGAGACCCCTCTTGCAGCACATCCGCATCAGGCACATTCCTTACAGATTGGTGATACCAAGAGTGCTTTTATTTACTCACCAAGGGAATACCTACAGAGCACCAAGCTATTAAGAGTTTGAGACACACTTATGCAAGCTGGGCCACATTGACTCATGGGACAGGCCTGTTCCACTTGTTTCCCTCTAAAATCCAACAGTTCACACCCTGCTTTTCTCAGATGCCTTCATCCACCCAAGCAGTGGCCTGATTGGCTTTTTATTACCGCTCACAATGACTGCAACCTGGCATGACAAGCCTAACAAACTCCCATGGCTCCACCAAATATTACCACCAATGATTGCTGTAATATTTTTGCTACTTGTTAATTTCTTTTCCTTTCTTTTTTCTGTTTATATATATATATATATATATATATATATGGGGTAAGATGTTTTCGGATAGTTCTCTAGTATTTTTAGAGCTATAATACTTGTTATACCGACAGTTCATTATCTATACTTTTTATAGTATTGAAAACTATTAATATAATCTTCAGTCATTGCCCCCGTGTTTTTAAGCCTGAATATATTTTGGCTGCTTTTGATAACTACTGAGAGGGCGTGAGTCTCCATAGGGGTATTGTTATATTTTAAGTGTAAGTCGCTGCACATTTCACACTACTCTAACTTTTTAAACCTATAAATACACAAATTCTACGCGTTTCCTTATGTACAATGGTATGACGATTCATCCTTTTTTTTGTTTCATACTTGTCGCTGTTGATATCATAGCTTATTTTGTAATATTTTGTATTACTCAAATGTGGAATGAGATAAATAAAGAATTTGTTTTTTTAATATAGTTCTGTGTTTTCTTAACAATTTGTAACCATTAATATCTGTTAATTATGTCTGCATAAACTGTAAAAACAAACAAAGATGCTTTATCCTACTTAAATAAAAAATGCGCGAGGAACAAACAAACAAACCCATTTTAATTTTTTTAAAGTATTCAAACATTTTGGGGTGTGTATTTGTTAGATGCTTTGAAGTAATTGATTTCAAGTACCTACTACATAAAACAAATCACAACTGAGAACAATTTACAAACTGTACTATTAAAACAACGCTCCAGGTTGGATTTGTGGGTATTTTAACCCCTTAAGGACCAAACTTCTGGAATAAAAGGGAATCATGACATGTTACATGTCATGTGTCCTTAAGGGGTTAATGCATTATATAAAAAAATATACAAAAAATATACAACTATAGAAAGCTAAAAATAATAATAAAAGATATATGTAAAGTTTCTGTTCTGCTGCTGTCTGTGCAGGATTTAAAGTGAGCTCTCACCAAACCCGGAAATGGTTGTTGGTAATGTCATACAGATACAGCAAAGTTTCTGGGAGTTGTAGTTCAATTAGTTTTGATTTCCGGAAAACACCAGTATTTTCTGAGAAAATAAATAAAACCGCTGCAGAAAAACTAACAGTAATCTAATGTACTTATGTCGCTTGTGTATCTGGATTTGCCCTTTGACATAGAAAGGGTTATTTGGTCAATAGGAAGAGCAGAAATTTAACAGGGAGATTTCAGATTAAAATAGGCAGATTAGAAAAATTCTAAATGTACATATATGTTTCCATCTTGGCTCTTTTGGAGTAAGATTTGCAATTTCTTTGACAGGTCTCCATAATTTAATATTCCATTAATAAATTCCATCAAAATTAGCATTAAGTACCCAGTGCCCTCCAAATTGGGGCCCATATGTGACCTGTCAGTCTCTTTTTTTCACCAGCAAGGTCTTTGAATTTAAAAAAAAATTGATTACAAAACAAACTGCAATTTTCTTGGTACTGGCAGAGTGACCGACCATGGCACTAGCTGCAGTGTAACCACCTGTAGTGTTGTGACTAGCGTGTTAGAGCAGCAACAGGTCTGCCCAAGCGCACTGTCTCTGCTACTTCCTACTTGGGTTATTTGTATTGGGAGAGAGGCCTTAAATGGGCTGCCCTGGGTGTCAGTTAAAAATTCCGGGAAAAACGGATGGCGAAGGCAAGTAAAGGAGGGGAAAGAGACAGGGAAATAAGGAAGGGCAAATAGAGGGAAAGGAGATACATTTAAAAGGCAAATGAGGAGGGAAAGGTGGAATGGGGTGATAAAATGGTGAGATGGAGATTAACTTCAGGGTAAAAGAACAAGGAATGGGAGGAGGCGATATAAAGGAATTATTGCATTAGGAGCTTGGTCAGATGAAATATGAAGTAGAATAGAGGAATGGAAAACAACTAAGGAGAATTAATATAAAGGGTAGATGAAATGGGAATGAGGATACAAAACAAAGAAGAGTGAAGAGATGGTAAAGTAAATAAAAATAAATGATTGAATGAGAAGATACGGTATAAGCAGAGAAGGGGAGATTATATCAGGAGAGTAGGGAGTCGGAGAATTGTGTAACAGAGAGAAGACGGGTGAAATAATAATATAAAAATAACTGAAAAATATAGCTACATTTTTCACTGGATTAAAATTTTTCATATGCCAAAAGTAAGAACTCCTCTATATCTTATACCATGGCCATTTGAAACCAAATTTAAAAATAATGAATTCAGAGACAGCAACGTCAGGCCTTTTGTAATAATATTAGGGTGCTTATTGAGTAATGAACTTTTAGTCTCTAAAATAAGAAATTAGACTGTCATATATACAAAGACACATATTACACTGTTACTTAATATCAAGGACCAATGGCATATTCTGGTTCCTTTTAATTTATAGGCCAATGAGTAAATTGATTTTCTAGAGGGAAGGGTACAATGCAGCTGAAGCAGTGAAATGAATTTAGAATGATTTATTTTAAAAGATGGTAGACATCTCATGCAGACACAGCACATTGCAGTTCTGGACCGGAAAGAGACTTTAAGGGGTTAACTGAGAGGCCAGTGAGACATCCAGAAAGGGGTGTTAGTGAGGATCTGCAGCAGACAAGATGATTAAGAGTTCTAAACCGGAGAGCCCCAGGCAGGGAATGTGAGGAGATGAAGGCACTGAACAGGCCTCAGCAGGAGCCAAGTGGCGGCGATCAGGGATGAGCTGAGCTGGGTGGGCCGGGAAGGGCCATGGGAGGGCCCGGGATGCGGCCTGGGGATGAGAGAGGATACAGTGTAACCAGCTCGGATTAGCAGATTGTTGGCGCCGTGGACTAGTGGTTAGCGGTGCCGCCTCACACGCGAGAGGGCGCCGGTTCGAATCCCCAAGTAGGGCGGGGAATAGCAATATCCCTGAATATCCTTCTTCCAGGCTCAACTCTAAATAGCCGAAGGGTAAAGGTAGCAGCAATGATACAACTTTCATTAACCCTCTTCCTTCCAGATAAAACTCGCATTAACCCCATGAATACCAGTGTGTTATAAGATTATAATAAATACTCTAGTTTGTCTAAGAAAACAATCGTATTATCATTAACCCCTTAATTAACACGGTTCTGAGAGGAAATAAGTAATTCTTCTTAAACTCTAAATAGGTCAACTGGGTGAATTTACAGTCATAGAGAAACCACTAACCCTTTGAATGCCACTCTGCACAGCAACCTTCTCGCTCTCTGTAGAAAGAGATTAGAAGTAATATATAGAAATAGAGTCATAAAACAATTAGATCATCTCTATTTTCTAAGAAATACAGTGTCCGAACGTTCAGGAACCATTAACTCCAAGTGTGCCAATCTAGATGGCTAAGCACAACCTTGGTAAAATAACAATAATGTAGAAATATATATATATATTTTTTTTATTTATTTTAAATGTCAATTTCATTACCAAAATATTAAACAATTAGTGGTTCTCTTTATTTTTAAATTTTTTTAATTTTCTATTATGAGTTTTGATTAATATTTTTTCCTCGCTAGTATTTAAACCAATACAGACAAGTCTTCGTAGTATTAATATCACTTAACACTGTATCCATAAAAATATATCATATAAACAATATTACATGTATACATTACCAGGTATCGTTTGTTACCACATTAACCCTTTGAGTAACTATAGATTGCAGATGGCGATCAATGCAGGTCTGTGAGTCAATTCACACTTTAATTATTTCAACGGGTCCAAAAGGGACTTATTGAGTATATTAAATCATTTCCATTGTGTTTAAAAGCAGGATATTGTCATTTTCAGAAATTATCATATTTTAATAATTCATCATATTTTTCGTAGATACAAATTAAAAATTTTTTTAAAAAAAGAATATTTATTTTAAAAAACCCTGTCTGGATGAAAAAGTAGCAAGGAGAGTCTTGCAATTAACCCCTTAATGTCATTATTTGGCAAACCCGTCTGTAACATCACCTGCCTGACAGGTCACTGGTCCTTAACGGGTTAAAATGGATAATAACGAAGCAATGCAGAATGCACCTGTGCTAAAGTAGGCACAGCATCAAACCTGAGAGAGTCTCATTCCAGGATTAATTGAAGCACATTAAGGAGATATAATCACCCTGGGGTTTCTTGGATATTGTCCTTGAAATATTCAATAATAATAATATTAATAATAATAATAACAATAAATGAAAACAAATTTTAAAAAACATAAAAAAACTGAATGTTTTGTAGTTCTGTACCCCAACAAACACACCGCTATATTAAGATTACAACAGGTTGCAGGCTACATGATATTCATATATTAGTGCATGTCAGTCCATCCATGGCAGATCCAATGAGTCAGACATTTCTGCTCTCCAAGTGACTGTGCTCCTTTTTTACAGATTAGTGCAGTTCTTCCTCCCTGGGGCAAGTCACCAAGTCAACGTGTAAGACCTGTAAAGGACAACAAAGGGTTAATTGTATCAGACTACAGAAACAATGTATCACTGTGTGGAATGTGCCTCGAATATTGTACAATACAAAATAAAAACATCACAGTCCCGGATAATAAATCATGTTCAATCCATTGTAAGACATGATTAATAACCCCTTCGAGTTTCCTATCTAAAATAAACCTCTTTTTCAGCTGCACTAAACACTTAGCAGAGAAATACCCTTTTGCTTATTATAAGCCTAACGGTGAATTCTCCCAATTTCTTTATACAGGGACTATCCGTGAATGGGGGAATAATTACAGAAACAGAGAGGTGATAGCGACACATAGAAATCACAGACATGAGACAAGGATAGACAGACGCTTAATTTTGTACAATTCTTCAAACAATACATGATGGCTAATGTTTTTATATTTTTCTTTCTTCCATTTATTTATTTATTTATTTGGGCAGGGGCTTTCACTATTATATATGAGGTGTGTGTATAAATGAGTGTGTATATTTATCAATTATATATATATATGTATATACATACAAACAAACACAAACACACATAGTATAGGAACATAAACAGCTGTGTGTATATGTGCATAGAATATACTTTGTGTGTTGTTGTTGTTGTTGTTGTTGTGGGTGTGTGCTGTCTCTGTATATGAATATATATCAGTGCCTGCTTCTTATGTATGGTTGTATTGTATCCTCTTCCTCCTTCCAGTATAGTCTTCCCAGTTAATACCCAGTCCCTTTTCCTGTACCATGGGGCGTTTTGCAGTTCGAATCCACACCCAAGTCTTTGACTGAATCTTCTATCACTTGTTGGTTTTTCTCTCAGTCTGCCATAATGAACTTTTTCCCTCTTCAGTTGGTAGCAAAGCATAGCAAGTCAGCCTGGGTGCAATGATAGCAGCCAGATAGTTCTGCAATGACGTAACCCTGGAACAAAATAAAAACACAAATAAAAAAAAAATACAAAACATAACACAACATAAAAAACACAACACACAAAACAGGGACAGCAGCAGCATTTAACAGGAGCAAGAGGAACATCAAACCATCTAAATGCAGATTATTTACTGTGTCCATTGCAAAAAGGAGAGAGGGAATTAACCCTTTAACTCCCGCACCAGACCTGCAGTGGCTTAACTTAATGTGTCCATTCTAGGTGCTGATTGAGTTCTGGCAATGACCGAATTATTAAGGGGGTAAAAGGACACCATTCTCCTTGAAGGGTCTGCAATCATATGGCATTAGCCACTTCCGGAATCCTGTAGCCAACTTGAAAATTCCCAGACCCCCTTTTTTTCCCCCTAATTTTTGCTCTGATCTGTAATTTCATCCACATTTGCACTAGTTTAAGCATTGTAGCTCTGCGATCTGAAAGCCTGCAATTACTATATAATTCTTTGCAATTTCAGATGTCCTAATATGGACTGTAATTTTTTTGCGCAAGACAATTTCCTGCTATTTCAAGCTTCAACATTGTCAAAGTTGTATGTACATAATAAATGGGAATATCAACGCATAGTTTTAGCATAACATCTTGACTTCTCGATAATTATATCCGTTTGGAACCTACGCAGAATTAGTTTGAATTGCATGGTTAGAGACTGAGCTTTAAAATTTTTAAAAATTACTCATAATTTTCTCAAAGATTACTAAGATCTCAAGTGCACAATGTCATCAGCGTAATGAAGAGTAAACATTTATGCTAATAATCTGCAATTTTTTTCATCAGCTATAAAGACAGAGGGTATATAACAGAAAATTTCACTCATATTCCACAAGCAGGGCTGACAAATACACCAGATCTAGAAGCAGTTTTTTGGGATCTGAAATATGTGATTCCTTCCATGGATACCTAAGGATGGTGACTATACTTCTAGACATCTTCTGATTCTTTAGAACTGGTTACAATATGGGGAGGAGGGGGTTTAATGAAATCTACCCAGGTCACAGAAAGGTAAGCTTGGCACTAGGTGAAATCTTTTATCTTCACACTCTGAGCTACATGTATGGGTGAAGGAAACTTTTTGGGTGTAGGTGGGTGGGTGGGTAGGTGTAATGGTGGAGGACACTTCCACAGCAGACACAGAACTTAGAATAAGGGTAGCTTTATTTTATGAGACTTCTGGTAGTTCTATGGTCCCAGGGTTAGGAAGCATTTTCTTACGTTACTGAATTGTGTTACCTTATTACATAATAATCTGTATGTTTTAACCAGATGGATATTATAGAATGTCAAGTAATGAACATATATAATAATATCTATCTATCTATATATATTTTTATATATATATATATATATATATGTACACACACACACGCACACACACACACAAACATACGTGTATGTGTGTCTGTGTCTGTCTATGTGTGTGTCTGTCTGTGTCTATGTGTGTGTATGTGTCTGTCTGTTTGTCTGTCTGTATGTGTGTGTGTCTGCGTGTATGTGTTTGTGTGTATGTGTGTGTGTCTGTGTGTATGTGTTTGTGTGTGTGTCTGTTAATGTGTGTATGTGTGTGTGTGTGTAGACAAGTCATACCATGATATAGTAGTGTCTTGCTTATTACTATTCTAGAAGGTGTCAGTATTCAGTTATTTTCTATCCCTCATCCGCTTGTGCTTTTAAACTGCTTTAATTTTCTTTGTATATTGATAGATAGAGAAAAAAAGTATATTTTGCTTGACAGGAGACAAAAAACCCTCCATAGATGGACCCATATAAAATCATTAGCTATTACAGACAGGGTGTCTAGGGTTTGTCTTTTCTTATGTAGAAAATGATTGAGACTTACAATATCAATCCATTTTGGCGTTTAACAAATAGGTGAACAACAGAAAATATATTTTCTTTTTCTTTTTTTCTCTGAAAGGAAAACTATTAGAAATGAAGAATATTGTTTGTCAGCACTGCCAATGCCTGCCTGAATTATTTAAACATTGTGCATTTGCTAATTCTGTAGCCTTCCCTGTTCAAAACATTGCTCCTTACACCTGCAAGCAATTTGCTGAACTTGAATATAGGGAGAATTGAGGGAGATGGAAGCTCACCTATTTTGTATATATTTTTTTTTCTTCATCTTTTTTTTCTCCCTCAATACATAGCAAATTTGGCTTTCAATGCGTTATCTCTTTTGTTAATGCAAAAAGATTCCCTGGGAGAAAAAATTGCTCATAATTACCAAAGAGATGGAAAACTGCATTAGAATAAATAAACCCAAAATTACTGTAATTATGTTTTGTTTGATGGGCTCGACTTGTAATCAAGAAGAGAATACTGAAAATGACGCTGACCCTTTTCGGATTGCAGCTGTATACTCAGTCTGAGATCCTTTTTCTGCAGAAAAGAGTCATTTTGGTTGATCATTAAGCTGTGTGCAACCTATTTTACAAGTGTTTGAAAATGAGCTTCACATTTGTGAATAAGACAAAAAAAAAAGAAAGAAAGAACATTTTTCCTCTCTCTCTCTATATATATATTCTATATTTTATATATATTATAATATATGTATATATAATGTGTATTTATATTTTATGTAATCATAACAATGAACTGCAATGGTAAATATATTGTGCACCCTAAATGTTGTCTTATTAATGCAAGTTAAATTAAAATACTTTAGAATCTTTTAGAACTGAACATAAGAACAGCATTATTGGTGACAAATACACTAGAGCTGTTTTTTTTTATTATTTTATTGTTTGTTTAGGGTTTTTTTTTTGTATTTAAAAACCACATAGCAGATAAACATTGATTATATATATAACATAGTCTATATATGAGTGTGTGTGTTTATATATAATAAAACACACACACACACATATTTATATACAGTCTAAATTACCTAGTGAAATTGTGAAAAAGTACTTTTTTCTTTAGCAGTTGAAAGCTTCATAATTAAGAAATATGATACATTTTGTGAAATATAGATACATTTATTTATCCATTTTAGTATTCAGAGATCATCATGCCCTGACATAGGAGAACACTGTAGTCTGAACTATTTTATTTTTTTAATCTTTTTCTTTTCTTTATTGTGTGATCTTTTCTGTCAATAAGTAAATATTACTCAATAACAATCTCTCAGTGAACTGCTCAGCACTTTCATTTTTGATTTCAATCATAGTCCACAATAAATATCTGGGGCATACGTTTGCTGATCCCAGTATTAAAAAAAAAAAAAAAAAATGGTTTAGAAACCCCCAGGGTGTTATTGACAAAACAATTACGATTTTTTTTAATTTTTTTTATTTTTTGGGGGGTGGGGGAGGAGTTTTCTAAAAGAAAGGAGAGAAAATCTATATATTTCTAAATACTACCACAGTGAAGAAAAATGTGATGTTTCACTTAGAAATGCAAACCCTTTACCTATTTACTTGCTTACACTCAAATCAAATGCAACTCAAATATCTGGTTGCCCTTAAGTTACATCTTGTATGAAGTGATTTTGTTGTTCTTAGATGTCTGATGTTTGGAAGGCAAATGTATCCTTGGAGAATTGTGTGGTTGTCTGTAAAGCACGTTTCTCTACTTCCTGCTTAGACCAATGTCTTTCTAGAGCAACATTCATCTAGAATGGCCATGCAGGTGGTGTATCAAATCACCGGGGAAAAAAATATATTTTATATATATATATATATATATATACATTTTATTTTGAAATTTCTAAAATAAAACAAAAATGCTATCAGTCAGATGTAGTGAACAGCTACCCTGATTTTTTCTGTGTGTATATATAAAACATCAGAATGCAGCTTTTCACTACATCTGTCACATTTGTGTTTTATTTTAGAAATGTCAAACATGACTTTTGTAATGCAGATCTTTCTGTGGTTTGGAAAAATCTAAACCTAGCAACATGAGGTGTCACTGTACTAGGTCACTATGTACAATAGGGTTGGAATGAATGTCAGGTGGTTTAAATACCAACTATTTCCCTGGTCTATAAATCTTAGGAAGCTTTCTAAATATATTGAAGAATGCCAATATGCAGTCTAGTTTACACATTAATATGGACATCACATGTCCAGCCCTGCTGCCATGCCTATAGTACTTTATAGGGAATTGGAATTATAATTTATAGAAGCTTTGATTATACATTGGCATTAAATGAGTAAACAGGACATCGCACAAGTAAATCATTTCAAACGCACTAGATGGTTTTTATTAAATGATTTTGGAGTACAGATATATTACCATATTTCAAAAAGGCTATTTATAACTAGAATGTATTGTGCACTCTTTCTTTTTTTCTTTTTTTTTCTTAAATATAACATAACGGTTATATTCTAATAGGTGATTTTGTAGCTTTTCAAATGTTTTACAGTTCAGTTTTAAATGAAAGCTTTTAAAATGGAATTTTAGCTTTTACATGCTTGCTTTTCGATTCGATTTGTTCTCTAAACAGATCTTGTTTATGTGTGCTTGTGTTTGTGTGTGCTTGTGTGTGTGCTTGTGTTTGTATGTGTGTGTGTGTATATATATATATATATATATATATATATATATATATATATATATATATATATTAGGCTTGTCCTACCTATTATTGAAATACATAGTCTACTTACTAAAATCAGTTTTATTTAAAAAAAAAAACAACCAATAAATAATGTGCACTGTGTCAGCTAGCAGTAATAAATAAACAGAAGTAGTTAGCAAAATAATCTGCAAATGTGCATCTGCATTTAAATATTATCCAGATTGAATTGTTAATTTTTAAAGAAATGCATTCTAGATAATTTTCAATTGATTCTAGATAACAATGAATTAGATTTAAAAACAGTGTTTACAAATTTGACATACATACACAAAATATTGATTGTGCTTGTGTATCAATGTATCCTAAAACTATATACATAATTTAACTTTTAGAAAATATATACATGTTTGCTAAAATAACAAAAATGAGAAGTAAATTTCTACTCTGGGTGGTGTGTGTATGTATATTATATTATTTATTATATATACATCACACAAGTGTGTGTGTGTGTGTGTATGTGTGTGTGTCTGTGTGATTTTATTGGGTAATACACAAAATATGTGGAATATTGTATTTGCTCTGTATATCAACTCAAATTTTAATAACACGAAAAACATTTTAAACAAAGTTCTATAGAAACTTCACACCATCATTTTTTTTTCAAAACCATATTTTACTGCCTTAAAGAAATTTTATAACTTATATACAAAGTTGTTTTTTGTTGTTGTTTTTTTTAAAGATACAAAGCAATAAGTTAACATTTTCAATATAAAACTAAACTTTTGACATATAAGAACACTAAACACAACTGATTTCAGTAATCACATTTCAAATTTCACAAGGATGCCGATAAGCTCCCATTTTCACAAAGCATCGTGGTTACAGGCACACGGAACAAACAGAAGGGCAGGATCTGTGCAACGTGTTTACAGAACAATAATAAAAAAAAAAACATTATGTACAACGTTTCTGCCTTGCAGACCTTAACCACTTGTTTGCTGGAGGCTTTGCAACATATTGCTCTGCAGTATGTTTTTTATATATATTTTCCAGCATTCAAAGGGTTATTATGTGCAAGATAAAAGAAAAATAAAGAAGAATAATTAAAAACAAAACAAAACAAAGAAAAAAACTACAAACAATTGGCATTTAAAATATCTGATGACAACACAATCATATTATAACCCTTTGAGTGCAAGAAAGTAAACAAGCCTCTGAGTTGTCACAACCTCTTTCACTGAAAAGGGGGTTAAAAATATTTAAACATTTTTATTTTCCTTTCTTGTTTACAACCAATTACTCTGGCATCTCTGAATTTCTAAGTTAACATTTTCTTTAAGAGGTACCTAAATACAATGTAAAACAGGCCCAATTCTGCAAAAAACAGTAATACACACTAATTCTTCTTATTTATTTATTTTTTTCAATTATGCACAGTGGAGAATGAACATATAGCAAACACACAAAACCAACCTCTTTAGTTTTAAAAGTAGAAAAGTTACTGTAAAAATGAAATTGATACCCTCATTATGTATAACGCTAAACCTTGTGATTTAGTTTATTTTTATTTAATATTTTTTGCATTATTATTACTTGTTTTTTTAAATTATTTCTTTCTAAAACAGTGCATTTTGCCATGCAGACCTTTAACTGCATCGTGCAATCTTAGTGGTAGCATATTATTTTTTTTATTTTATTTTCTTATTTCTAATAAATATTTCAATACTCAATGATGCCCCCTCACCCCCTCCAAAACTAAAAAAAAAACTAAAAAAAAAAAAAAGTAAGTAGTAGAAAGAAATATATTGAGCCTTTTGTTGACAGAACAAGATAGGCATTTGTTTACAAGGGGGGACATGAGGATTAATTACAGGAAGATGAATCCAGATATATTCCAAAAACAACCGCCATTGTTTGAGTAAAGAGGTTGGATAAATGACCACATGTTACCAAAGACAAAGACAGACAGGAGAGGATCCTTGTTATTGCCCTCTCTCTAAAAACATCTTTATTTTCCTTCCAATTGTCCTCAGGATATGGTTGGTTGGTGCCTGCTTTCCTCTCCTCTGTCTGCCAGGCTCTTCTTGTGCCTGCTGAGAGGATGGGCACATGGTATGAAGATGCTCTTGTCAGCTACCTTCAGTTGGGTACCAGCCCTCATCAGATCTGAGTTTGCCTGTTATCATACCATGTCAGACATGGGGTTTGACCATAGTTCTGAAGGCACAGGACTCATTATTATCTTGTGTTCTTATGCATTTCTTTTGTAGATTGTTATGTTTTGTACAGTTTTATTGTGTGCCAAGGACACGTTGTGCCATCACATAAGTTGTGGTTGCTGCATAGCTTCCTGGTGGGCTGAAGGATACCACGAAGTATAGCTTGGAATGTAGGATGCTGGGGTCCCAGATGTCTTTCCAGAAGATGTTGGGGTGTTCCATACTGGGGGTACAGGGGGAGAACTGGCAGAAAGTGCCCTACCATTTGCCAAAGCACTACTTTCCAGAGCTGCCCCTCCTTGCTTCATTAATTTCTTAAATTTGGATCTTTTGTTTTGAAACCAGATTTTTACCTATGGGGGGGGAAATATAACACCATAGAATTAATTCACAGATACATCAATACATAGAAACACACAGAGCAAAGTTAATAGTGCCCAAAAATAATAAACAAACCATTTCATAACATCAGCATATATTATTTAGATATAAATGGTTTGAAGCTACAAATAGTATGAAATGATAGTATCTAAATGAAAAATAGTATCTAAATGATATCTTGTAATAATAATACTTATAGTAATGATAATAATGTATAATATTTATGAAAGGAACATCGCCAACGGCGGTGCTTTGTACATAGTGATAGGGTAGTGACAAGAACATTTAGCAAAAAAAAATTAGAATTAAATAAAGTGCCCCAAAAATATAGTTTCATAAGAATAAATTAATCTGTCGTGACCCCAGTGTTAATTAGCAGTAAGAAAGTGCTAGAATAGCGTTGGGAAGATAACGCTGGTAATTTTATCGATTTTAAAAATAAATTGAAATATTTTATTACATTGTATTTGTTTACATTTAAATCTACATAGTAATATATAGATATAGGAAAAGCAAGTCTTATGGCTTGACTGGTGTGCAGATTTTTGTTTAACATTGTATTAACTATCCACTAGTAAAATATATATAGTATTTTTTTTTTCATTTGGCAAGCAGACCCAACATACAATTACCTAAATCCCTTCAGTGTATCCTGTCAAGAGAGCTTGTTAAAATAATTGATTGCTATAAAATGCCATCACTTCTCTTCCTCTTAAAACTCCACCTTAATTTAATGTAACTACATGCAATCTGCTGTAAGATAAAGATGTGTGTGTATGTTTGTGTTTGTTTGTGTTTGTGTTTTTGAGCCACATTATCATTTTAAACAGTATAATATGTCATAGAAAATAACTTTAAGAAAAATGATTTGTTTTGTGTGTTTATCGGTTACTTCTAACTATATTTCTTTGTAGATCTGTACATTTATTTGTAGATTTGTACATGAATGTGTAAATGTTGCCGCATTGTAAGAGAGCTGTGATTGCTATAAGTAAATAGATGTTTGATGGCAGATTATTGCAATTTCAACGTGTTCAGAAATAGACAAAACGTTTCATTACCGTCCACTGGTACCTAATATCAATGCTGTTGGAATGTCAAATTGTATCAAGGATCTGTCTGAGTTTCAAGGTTAAATGTGGCAACTTAGTAACCGAGTCACCACGGTTCCATGTAAAATGGGTGCCGGGCACTTTGGGATAGGGTGCCAAGGCAGTTTGTAAAATGAATGCCAGTGCCATATGTGAGCAGGGTGCCAGTGTTAAAAATAAAGTGCCAACACATGATGCCAAGGCTAGGGGCATGCAGTTTGCCAGGCTGTATATGACGGGATGCCAGGGATGAATATAAGCAAGGGTTATGTGTAAATAAGGTGTTAGGGTTATGTGTAAATAAGGTGTTAGGCAGGGTGCTGGCTGTGTGTGTTTATGTTGGGTGTCAGGGCAGTGCCAGGACATAAACCTGCAGGATGCCAGACTGTAAGCAAGGTGCCAGGGCTGAGTGGGCTGGTACCTGTGTCTGTGTGAGTCCCAGCGATGCGGCTTCTGCTCTCTCGGGCAAAGTACTGGGTCTGCTGGAGCTGCAGACTGGAATATATAGTCCTGGGTTTCCGGATCTTTTTCCCTTTGCCGTTGAACCGAACCTCCCCACCTTCCACCACAGTGCTCTTCTCAGTATCTGCCCCTGCACCGCCAGCAAAAAAATCAAACACAGATCAGGTAAACTCCATCACAACAGCACAAACAATAGCAAATCACAAACAACAACAAACAACAAACACATCAAATGGGAGAAACAACAAAGATTTCAGCAGCAATCCATAATCCATGCAATGATTCTATTTTTTTTTTGTCCCCTAATTCTTTTTCCAGCATGCTGCAGTTTAGGTTTAATTACCCTTAATTGCATACATTGTTTATAGCGCCACGCAATAAATAATTACGGAGGCTAATGCGTGCACATCTGGGCTGCTGTTGCAATGGGCGCTGTGTACAGAGAGCTGTGACTGCTGCTGGCTGCTGCTTCTACCCTCCAGCTAGGTATCCAGGGGTATCTAGGGGGGGATCCCGGGCATTGGGCAGGGAAGGCTGGGACATACATTGTTGCAGGTTCTATACCTGGTCCAGGCTGCATCTATCTCCAGCTAGGTATCTAGGGGCCCCAGGAAATGGACATTGAAGACAGAAAGATACATTGTAACTGGTACTGTACCTGGTGCTGCTCCAACTAGGTATCTAGAGGTATCTAGGGGCCCCAAGGCAATGGGCAGGTAGACAGAAAGATACATTGTAGCTGGGGTGTCTAGGGGGCCCCAAGGCAATGGGCAGGTAGACAGAAATATACATTGTAGCTCGGGTATCTAGGGGCCCCAAGGCATTGGGCAGAGAGACAGAAATATACATTGTAGCTGGGGTATCTAGGGGCCCCAAGGCAATGGATAGGGAGATTGTTACATTGTAACTGGTACTGTGCCTGGTGCTGCTCCAGCTAGGTATCTAGAGGCATTGGGTAAGGAGACAGAAAGATACATTGTAGATGGTACTCTACCAGGCTCAGGCTGCCCTCCAGCTGGGTATCTAGGGGCCCCGAGGCAATGGGCATGGAATACACAGATACCTTGCAGCTTGTACTGTACCTGGCTCAGGATGAACCTATCTGCCTCCAGGTAGGTATCTAGGGGGGCTCCCGGGTAATTGGCATGGAATATACAGAGATACATTGTAGCTGGCTCAGGATGAACCTATCTGCCTCCAGGTCGGTATCTAGGGGGGCTCCCAGGCAGTTGGCATGGAATACAGAGAGAGATACATTGTAGCTGGCTTAGGATGACCTCCAGGTAGGTATCTAGGGGGGTTCCCAGGCAGTTGGCATGGAATACAGAGAGAGATACATTGTAGCTGGCTCAGGATGCCCTCCAGGTAGGTATCTAGGGGGGCTCCCAGGCAGTTGGCATGGAATACAGAGAGATACATTGTAGCTGGCTCAGGATGCCCTCCAGGTAGGTATCTAGGGGGGCTCCTAGGCAGTTGGCATGGAATACAGAGAGAGATACATTGTAGCTGGCTCAGGATGCCCTCCAGGTAGGTATCTAGGGGGGCTCCCAGGCAGTTGGCATGGAATACAGAGAGATACATTGTAGCTGGTACTGTACCTGGCTCCTCTAAGCGGGTCTGGCTGATGCTGCTGTTGGGGTAGGACTGCACGGTACTGATGTAGGGGTTAGAGGAATGGCTGCTCACCGAGTTCACATAGGGGTACCCCAGGGGTCTGGAGAAGGACGAGGCTCCGCTGTACGAGCTGTCATGCTGGGAGTGCAGGCAGTGCATGGAGTAATGTCCATGGGACATGGGGGAAGGGGGCATCTGCTGGTTCGGTGGCCCAAACTCCATGAACACCGCCTTGCCTGACACCGGGCTGTTAATACTTTCTGGCATTGTAGTCATGGTCATTGCTTCTCTCTTCTTTTCAATCTTTTTTTTCCTATATTTTTTTTTTGTAAAGGGAGGATTCCCCCCACCCCCCCCCTTTTTTTTTCCTTATTCCTTTCTTTCTATTTTTTCCCCCTTCCCTGCTTAATAGAGAGAAAAATTCCCAAATTTAAGCGGATCGGATATTTTCACTTTCCATTCATAAGAAAATGGAGTTTCTTCTCTTTGGGGGAGAAAAAGAAAAAAAAAAGTCCTAAGCTTGAGGCTGTGTAGAGCTGCACAAACTCGCCTAAGCGCCTAAGACTCAGCCCGCTTTGCATATTCATGACACGGCGCCGCTGATTGGTCGACGGGCTGAATCGAAGACTGGTGATTGGCTAAAGCGCGCCTCGGGCAGTGCTGGACTTGGAGAAAAAAAAAAAAAAACGTGTGAGCTTGAGCCTTGCCTTCTCAGTGGCTTGTGATCTGTACTAGAACATCATAATATACTAAAAAAATAATGATAAAAAAATGTCTGGGGAAACAGGACGTATACAAACACAAGGCAGTGAGATCAGCACACAGTGCAGGTACACAAACCCAATGGATTGTTTTAATCAGCCACATGCTTTATTTTCTACCTTTCCCCTCTTATTTAACAATTTTCCAGTTTTCTTATTTTTTATTTTATTTTTTTTGGTGTGTGTTCAATACAGCAAATGAAGCCCCATTCAGCATTTTATTCCAGTCAATTTCTGATGGGAGACAGCAACAACCAACCACTTTTTTGTAAACTAAAATTAATAAAATGCCCAATATAGTAAATATAACCCTTCCTCCCAAAAAAGGCACAGGCCCTCCTATATGTAAAAAGCACACCCCAATAATCACACTTTAAAAATGTATTTATTTATTTTTTACTGGCTACAGATATATGCTTTTTTGTATCACGATTTAAGGATTTCATATTCCAATGGAATACAGATATTTTAAATGATATAAAAAATAATTTTACATGCTGTTCAATAATTTGATAAAAATTCACATTGCATTAAGGTATATAGAATGACACCTCCACGCTGAGCCTCTAGGTAAGTGATAAGGGACATTCCTGTTCGTATAGACTTTGTTCTGATAATCCACATTTTTATTTGCATAATACTTTATTCACTAAAAACAGTTAATTATGATGAATCGAATACAGGATTGCAAAATTTGGGTCAAAACAGTTGCATTGGAAAAATATTCTCAAATTCAGCAATATTCCCAGCTTGAATATTTGGCCTAATTTAATTTTCATCTCATCTCCCTATTTCATAGACCCCCCTATATGTACTATGGACCTTTCAATGCCATTAGGAATCCATGCTTTAGAATGGCCATGGTAAATCCCCAAATTACTTTGTTAGATAATTAGAAACTGTTGCTGATAATTTATTTCATAATTCAGTGGGGTGACTGTACAAGCAATATGATCTTGTGAAGGTTCACACGTGCAGCTGTATTGCTGAATCATTTGATTAAATCCTTCTCTGAGCTCTGAGATCCCCAGCTGAAGCAGGCTCATTAGCATAACACTGATGTTTAATTTTCATACGGATAATTAGCCATATATTTAACAATAATAGTCACATGTTGCCTCTCATTATTAAACAGCCTGAGATTTGATCCGGCCTGAGTTGAACTTTTCCTGTTCCTTGTCTGTGACATTGTTCATATGATATCAAACCAACCCCTCCTACCACCGATCCAATAACTCAGATTTTGGTCAAGCAATGGTAATAAAAAATATATATATTAAAAACCAAAAATAAAATGCTATGCAAGATGTCTCTGACTATTGATATCCTGGTAATGCAACCATTACCTTTAAGTATACAGTTGCAGGCAGATAAATACAGTAGAATTGTTCAAATGATAAAATGGCATTGTAACAACTAGCTGTCAACAAACAAGACACATTAATACATAGAGCGAACGTTAGGAACTAGTGATATATCACTTTGCCCAGGTGATGGGAATTATGTGCAGGGTTTGATTTCCGACTTCTATATAGAGCAAAATAAATAAAAAATAAAATAAAATAAAAAAATAAAAAATAAAAATTATTCCTTCTTGGTGCTAGAAAATAAAATGTAAACATGACCCTTTGTCAATAAAAGGATTCCGTTTTTGGATTATAGATCCCTGTATAACAAGCAGGCACATTTTTTGTAGTTTTTGTCACTGGAGATTGCAGAGAATGGCAACTGTTTCCCAGATTGTGTTTAAGGTGCCTTAGTTGAAAAAAACGAGAGAAATAAAAAAATAAAATAAAAAAAAGAAATTAAAGAAAGGGAAAAAAAAAAAAAACCCAGACAGTTGACATGTGATACCTAACATTATTCTTTTGTTTGAAAGCATCCCAGTGTAATCACAGAAATGATTAAACTGTCTTATATGAAATGACTATAAAAAGGAAAATGATTATATAATAAAGTGAGACTGTATGTCTTTCAAAACGAGATTGATATGTGTGTGTGTGTGTGTGTGTGTGTGTGTGTGTGTGTGTGTATGTATAAATATATATATATAACATTAACGTAGAGTATCTTGGAATTAACCCTTGCATGACAGAGTGGCATATTATCTTCTAATATCCTCCATTGATGGTAAGCTTGCCTGCTATACTTTTATCAGCCACGTTTATAATTAAGGTTATAAATGAGTATATTAAATCCCACCACCTCACTATAATTGCTGTACAAACAGCTTGTTACCGCAGCAGTGGGTAAAATTCTACAGTCTTCAAAAATTATTACTGGGTTACCTCAATGTAAACACACCCTAAACAAGTTGTTGGACTAATCACAAGCATCTCGATTACACAGACACAGAAATACACACATACAAAAAAAAAAAAACTAATTTGATTTGGTTTGGCAGATATGGAGCAGATTATGAAGGCTTGCTTTGCAATGTTTATAACCTTGTGGTTTGTTCAGAATAAATCTCTCAGCAACCCATCCTGCACAGTGCACAGAAAATCACAATTATTAAAATTGTGTATCTCATCACATTAGAAGTCACTCTAGCTGAAATAAAACGTTGTAAGCGATCCACCTCCTGTCTATACTCTTATTGTAACTGCTTAAGGTTGTAGAAAATAACAAATATTTATTATTTTAATCTTTTTATCCTTTTGTAAATTGACATCTATATAGTTATATATATAAATATACACACACAGACACACACACACATATATATCCCAATAAATCTCACATACATTACATTTTAACACAGTTCTAGATTTTACAAACAGACCCAAATAGCCTGTAATAATAAACAGAAAATATTCCTTATATTTTATAGCAACAATGTAACGTGTCATGACAACATTTTGTTACATTATATTTTGGACAATGCAGATTGTATAAACACAAACACAACACAAACAAATACAAATAAAAAGAATGAAATTAAAAGAAAGACAATACCTTGCATATTCTAATATTTAACTTGTATATTTTTCGTCCCCAAGATACGGTGAGAAAATTATATATAAATGTACTTTAAATGTATGGCTAACAGTAAGGAGAAATTCACGTTTTACCATTTTTCAGTAGATCAATATGACTTTGGGTATTTGTGTATCCCTCTGGATCCAGTGCCTGCCTAGTGGTCTGGGGATTTTATAATTTGAATAGCAAATTAAAAGCGCTTACATTCCGGCAGCCCTGATTAGCAGCTTCCTAATTACACAGTACAAGCGTTGCCTCTATAATAGGGCTGGCCTGATCTCTCTTCCTTCCCTTCCTCAAACTATCCAGAGCCCAACATCATTCATTATTTCTATGGCGATGGTGACATTATTTTATGTAGTAGTAAGTGATGTTAGATTCTTTATTATTATTTTATAAATATAGAATTATTTGCCTTCAATATTAAAAAATTAACAGACAAAACAAAAAACAAAACAAACAAAGGTATTGATCCTGTACTGATTATAGTTCTGCAAGTTAATGTACTTGTGAAATGAAACAGGCTATATTATATATATAAACACACATCACAGATTTAATATTTCCCGTTATTGTTATTATTCCCTGATTGGTAATACACAAAATAAACACACTGTAACTATAATTTTGTTTAATAAACATGTTTTATTAAATGTAACTGATTTAATATTTTCAGTTGATACATGTATGTACATCCACACTATGCTATGAGAACAGACACTAAGCCATATCACAATCCATGTGTCTAGTGGGGACCAGGGTCAGTAAATCCAGTGGAAAGTCAGACTGATGCAGGCCAGACAATGGCCACTTTGCAGAATAACCAGAGGTCTCCATGCTCGAGAATTTGGGAGTCCTGTACACCTTGCATTAACCCTTTCATTGCTAAAGCAACAGAGTCACTCTGTTAATCTTCTTCTGGTCGTTTGGTCAAAATCTCCACCCCTTCTGGTGTAATTAATATGGTATGTTCAAACTGTGCTGATCTGAAATTCATATAAATATTAAACAGATATTAGAGATATAAAATAACAATAATAATAATAATAATAATAAATATATATACACACACTTTGAAATTTAAAAGAAGAACCTTAACACTTGTTTGGTCAAATGGAATCATTAAACAATTCTATAAGAACATTAGAATTAATAGAATTTATAATTGCACCTTTTATTGTCTAAAGATATGGCCGTCCATTTGTCCTTGAGGATTTTAAAATTTGCAGATCCCTCCATTATAATTGGTTCTGAAATGTGATATAAGGAAAAGAGGAAATAAATAAATCGACTGGAAAAAAAAACGAAAAAAAAACGAAAAAAAAAAACCAACAGTAAGGAGAGACTCCTGTGATTTGCAATTATTCGGATAATTGAGATATGACAAACACGATGAAATATAACATGTAAAGGATATTTGCACACAGTGTATATTCAGACAAGAACTATTTCTAAAAAATAAATAAATAATTTATTGTTTAATTCGTACAGAAACTGCTGGTTTTAACCCATTAATCAAGCAGACAAATTAACCCAGCCTTCAGAAAGAACAGAGAGTTAACTGGAGAGCTTGCAATCAATCAGTTTAACACTTTGTCCCTGTGGTATTAAAAGGGTTAATATTTCTGCATCTAACAAACTTTTTGCAGTATGTGGAAAATAAAGGTAGGCAGAGTGATTCATTTGCTAAACACTGAATTAACGTCCATGAAAAATCGAAATCTGATGCAAAATTAATGTAATCAAAAAATACTGAATTCAGCGGTTTTTCAAAACTTGGTGACTTTGGTGTAAAA